TCATACTTGTTAAACTTCGGAGTTTTGAACCCCTCAGGCAATTGCACATTCGGGAAAAGGCAAAGCTCATCGTAATCCAGGACTCCTTGCTTGTTCAGCCCCTGACTCTTCCTTATAAATTCATCAAAACGATCAAGGCGCTTAAGCAACTTCATATCAACGGGAGCGGAAGATTCCCCCATTTCTGGCTCGGTTTGAAAAGTATGGTCCGGCAGGAATGGCTCAGCAGCAGTGTGATAGAAAGTATGTAGCTCTGGTGGTATGTTTGAAGTAAGTTGGGGTTGTGGACCTTGCATGTAAGCAGGGAAAAATGAAGGATCAGGAGGGTAAGTGTATGGCAAATGTATGGTGGGATATGTGAAAGTCCCTTCGGTTGGAATAGGGAAAGATGGAGCAACAGTGGCTTGAATTGAAGGTATGACAAATGGCTCTGGCCCAGGCTGCCTGCCGGGCACGGGCTCAGGTTGAACTCCACTGCTGATAAGCTCATCGATTAATTTCCTCTGGGCCGCCATCTCAGTGGTCATCTCACCGAACTTAGTGAGCATCTCAGTCAACTGAACCCCCAAACTTGTGGTCTCAGGCTGGGCGGTAGTAACAAACCTGTCTGATGGTTCCAGTTGCGTTCAACCAAGAACCCTAATTTTCCAGAAATTCTTCCAAATACAAAATTGATTGCAATTTTCTATCATATGCACCTACTAGAGCCAAAGCCCCTTATTACCAACCATCAAAAACAACCACACCATCAAGATCATATGAAACCAGAAAATCATCAATAAAATGGAAAACTTCACCAAATCACTTCAAACCAAGATAAAAACCAGAAATTTCAACACTTTAATCACTAATAAGCATAACTTAGGCTTCATAAGGTGTAAGAGGGTGTTCAAGCTTCACTTACCAAGAAACAAGAGAGAGGAGTGTGACAGCCCCACCTTCCCCTAAGCCGTACCAAAGGAGTTAGCGGACTGCCTGCCCAGCTCTCGCCAGGACTACTAAAACGGTCAAACACTAACTCAAGTCGTTCGGGAAAATATTGGCGCGCTTAAACAACCCAATAAATAAGAAACGGAAAACAAAAGTCAAAACGTGAAGCGAATAGTGACCGCCACGTCACAATCCGCCAAGATCCCATGGATTACAAGAAATTTCCAACAATCACTGAAAAGAGTATATACAAGCCAAGTACGATCCATTGGATAGGAATACACCCTATTACAAACCTCATTTGTATGGTTACAAGCCAAAAGAAAGCATTTAAATCCAAGTACAAACAAAGGTTCCAACTATTGAGGAGCTATACAAAATCTCTCAACTAGCTCTACTCAACTCATGCTTCAAAGTCAAAAGTCCAAAAGACAATTCCCTGTAAGGAAAACAAAATTTAACGGAGTGAGCTTTCGCCCAATGAGGTACTATCACGTACATATACCAAGATCACATAAACTCAAGAGCATTCAGTCCAAATACGTTCGTCAAGTAAGTAAAAGCAATAACACCCAAGTGTAAGGAATAAAAGGATACGGATGGCTCTCAGGAGCCCTTTTCCTCTTTTGCCATACTTGATCTCATCTCATTGACTCTCCGTCAATGTATACCAGGTAATCATGACCGTAGACCCCTCTTTACTCCAATTATCCGTCCACCTCACTTTCCCCTTACCGGGCCCGAACACCACACAGTACAGAATTGGTATTACTCGAGTAAACCGGAATCTAGGGTCTCATACCCAAAGATTCTCAAATACAGTCCCCATGGCTTGTCAAATGTCCCCGACCAAGTCCTTACTGGCTCGAGTCCATTGACTTCCAATGAGGTAGAGCTCAAAGTAAACAGTACAGATCCAGAGTTACATTAAGGATCGGCATCCAAGCGACACCAAATCAAATACAGTCAAGAGTATTCAAGTTATATCATAACCAAACAAGTAGGCCAGAGAGTACGAGAGTGGTAAAGTACACCCTCGCCTCACCTAGTCCAAACAATCATCACAACTAGTCCAAAACACAGAATTCAAGTACAAGAAAGCCACGGAATAACAAATATGTGAGTAGTACACTCACCAAGTCAAACAAAGAAATTTCACAAGTTTTCACCCGACGTGAGCCTCGGATCACCGGCACGCCCTATAATAATCAAGAAAGTACAATTAAGACTCAAACACGAGTCGAATACCTTTTAATAGGAACTATTAAGGTAAAACCCAAATATAGCTTGGAAATGAAAAATACATAATATTTAGGGTTAAAAGTAGAAACAACCCTAAAATTATTCATTTCTAGTCAATCTCAACACAACTCACAAGGATCCAATGCCCTAGACACTCGGACAGCATTTCCCCTAAAATTTCAGCTTTTCCAACCTACAAGACACCAATAAAAACCATCCAACACAACCACAAGCACCCAAACAATTCATAAGGCATTCAATATACTTCATTAGGGTCACAATACCCCTCAATAATAGCCAATTAGAAGCTCAACAATCAACCATAGCAAAGCCCCAATTGAAACCCTAAATCTGAAATTTTTCGCACAAGCGGCAATTTCCGCAATTAACTACAATTAACGCACAAGTGAGCTATAAAACACCATTTGGAACCACCAAATCAAACCCAATCATATCCATCATATGAAACCAGAAAATTCCAAGAAAAATCAGAAAATTGGGAAACTTCACTCCAATCCACCAAATCTTCCGTACAATCACGTATATAGCTACTATAAGGCACCATTTGGCCAAAATTAGAAACAAAAGATGAGTTCCAAGCAATATACCTTAGATCTTCAAGAAAGGTTGAAGCTTAGAGAGTTTTCTTCCAAAATAACACCACCAAGTTCTTCAAACACCCGTAGCAAGATGATTTTATGGACTAATTCAAGAAATAATCGGTTGATTCTCAAGATTGGAGCAAGATTTGAAGATAGAAGGTTGAAGGTTTCTTTCCTTTGTTGGCTAGAGAGGTTCGGCCATGAGGAGCTGAAGAATGAAGATGATTTGGTCCAATTTTGACTTTTAAGTGAAGACAAAGAAAGTTAGGCAAAGTTAGGTATGGTTGGTCCAACCACATTTGGACACGTGGCACCTTGTTTTCACTTAGAGTTATCCTCTTATCCCTCCAAGGTTAATTCATTTAGGTAACCTCTAATCATCTCCTAACACCTAGTAATAAAATCCCTTTATGCAAAATTTAACCGAATCGGCCGAATTTCTCTCACTAAATGCACTAGCGGGTCCCACGTCCAAAATACGTTCCAAATTTCTCACGAACTACCTTATACTAGAAAAATGATTTAAAAACTATATTTACTGATAAAATGTTAATAAAAGTAATATAATAAAGAAAATACAAGAAAACGGTGCACAGGAATAAAATAATAAATAAATAAATAATTTTTTTTTTTTTTCTCTGGGTTCTCACAAGGAGGATGTTGGACACCTTAAACCTTCAAACAAGCTTCACTACAACACTCACTAACATCAACTAAAGAGATTTTATGGAGTAGAAATAGATGGAAGCAAGTATTTTGGGTGATTTGAGCTAGTTGGGACTTGAAAATTGAAGAGGTTTTCTTCCTTTCTTAGCACAAGAGGGCCGGCCATCCAAGAGTGAAAAATGGTGATTTTTGGGCAATTTTTGGATATTTAATCCTTTGGTCAAAAAGTCAAAATTGTGAATAGTAAATCTTAAAATTCACCCAATGAGAAAGTGACACTTGTCACTCTCATTAATGCATTCCTATCCTTCTTTTCTCTCTCACATCAATCATTTCACACACTCTACTTATCTCTTAGCACCCGATAAATTTTACACAGTATCCGAAATTTAACCGTATTGGCCGAATTTTTCCGAACTTTTCGCACTAGTGGGTCCCACGTCCAATATATATTCTTAATTTTCTAAAAACTCACCAATGCTAGAAAAATCATCTAAAAATTATAATTGCTCATAAAATCCACCCAGATAATATTTCCAAGCCAGAAATGCAAAAATTATGCAATTAAGGGAACTAAAACCCTAGGAAAATAATTAGGGTTTTTACGGGTTCTCACAAACTCCATTTTATAGCTTCATATATCAGAATATATAGTGAGTACTACACTTTTTATCATTTTCCTGCTCCTTCCTTCCTACTCGAATCCATGTTCTGAATACTGTGAGATCCAAGCTGCTTTTCGTTTTTACTACTGCAGATGATGCCAAAGAATCTGTAAAGGAGGAAATTCGCTTGAGGTGAAAACCTTCTGAAGTTTTTTGACCATGGGCTTATTTTTTGCTTACTGCAGATTGCTGTTAGTTATCTTGATAATTGATATTTTAACCTTTCTGGTCAAGTTATGCATTTCTTAATGATTGAAGGCCTGCTTTTGTTTCTGCTTCCTCTCACTAATTTGTTCTATTGTGACTAGAGTGGGTTTGAATTCAGTTAATTCAGTTAGTTAAAGGGCTAATCTCGTATGTCTTCCTTAAAATGGTTTTTTAAGATGTATTTTTCTTTTAATAATACTTATATCTTTTTGACTATGTATGTACATCAGCTTTGGACTTATTACCACACACTTCTGAGGTTTAAGTTGAATAGTTAAGTTCAAGCTATTTAGTACTCCTTGATAGGAACTAAAGTAGCCGTTAGACAATACAGTGTTGTGTACTTTCTTTCGTGTTTGACTAATGTTTAGTTCCCCTTTTGGTTCACAAGGATGTCTTCCACATCACTCTTGCTTGATGTGGTACCATCTTTGATCAGCAACACTATGTCTTTCCCCCATATCTGTTGGCATTTATGACATCTGAAATCAAAACATTCCAATTCTGGGTAGCTAATGGAAAAGAGTTGTTGTCAGCAATGCTGCTTAATGTCAATTCATTTAACATATGTATGAATTTTTCAGGTGTATATTTGCCTTTCATTTTTAGTTCTATAATGCAGTAGCTATTAAATATGTTCTTAAGAACATGACATTGTGATGTTTTCTGGTGCATATTTGCCTCAGATATGGCATCTGAAGCAACATCTCAGTCAAAAGGGAAAGGCAAAGGGTATTTCACTTGGACTCCTGAAATGGATCGTGTAATGGACACTTGTTTTATTGACCAAATGAACCAAGGAAACAAATTGGATGGTAAATGTGCATGGAAGACGGCAGCCTACACCGCTGTAATGAATGCTTTATTCGATAAGCTCAATATATCTGTGACAAAGGCTAATATTATATCTCGTTTCAAGATATGGGAGAAACACTATGACATCCTATACCCACTGCTCCAGTCATATAACTCTGGGTCTGCGATAATATGGGACTACTCTAGAGGTAGAATTGATGTTTGTGATGAGGATGTATGGAATGCTCGAGTAAGTGAGAATCCAAAAATTGTTCTTTATAGAAAAAAAAATAGTGGTTGAAAATTGGGAGGATATATGTACATTGTTTTCACAAGATCGTGCAAATGGAGAGGGCGCCCAAACTGCTTTTGAGGGTAATGTTGATACTGAAGTTGAATAGTTTGCTAATGTAGAGGAATCATTTGAGACTGATTCACGTTCTTTAGAAGATGAAGTTATGAATGCATTGCTAGCTCGACAGTGGTCAAAATCAAAATCGTCATCTTCAACAAATGATCGTGGTACAAAGAGGAAACTAACAAGCTCTCAAGCACTTTACCAGGTGTTGGGACGAATGGCAGATTCACTGGATAAGTACTTAAATTCAGAATGTTCAAAAGTTACAACTAAAATGGTGGAAGATGAGTTATCTGAAATTGAATTGGATAGATTTCAATTGTTAAAGGGTATCGATTTACTTATGAATGACAGGACAAAGTATGACACTTTTTTTGGTCTCCGAGATGACTTAAAAAAGGATTGGCTATTGATGCACATTGGTAATTGATTTTATTTGGTAACCTCCATTTGAAGTTGTTTCTGTTGGGAGAAGAAGTTGAGCATATTGCTGGAAGCCAAGTAGAGAAAGCAGAAGCTGTTACTACTCCATCGTGTATCCACATGACTTTTTAAATTCTGATGAGTTTTTTGTTTTTCATATAATGGATCAAAACAAGATTATAGAAAGATTCTAGGAAATATTTCAGCTATTTTCTGTCTAATTTTTGAGATGATAAGAATGGGACATTGGATCTTTTGTGTGATGAACTAGCATTTTAGGTATTGAGATTAACATAGCAGCCTATGTTGATGACCTGACTTGTCCTTGAGCTGCATGAACCTATGTAGTGATCAATGCTGCTGTTTTTTTATTTTTTTTCATGCTATCCAGATGCTTGTTGAGCACATTTCACATCATATTAGAGATTGGTTAAGAAGTGTTATTTATCTATTCTGATTGGACATGCAAGTCAGAAAATGATACTTGTGTTGGCATTTAAATTTTGCTTCCAAATTTTGATGCTGGCCTTCAGCATTTTCATTCGGTTGTATTTTTAGGTCACTGGGGGAAGAGCATCTGGGAGTCTTGAGTTGCTGTAATTTCTATGTTTTTGCACTCGCTGAATGTGTATTTTAGGTATTTTTGCTGTTGAGGTTTTACACATAATTAAATCTTAAGCACATTGGTGTTGGAGTAATCAGTAATTTTTGACTATTGTGACACATTGCAGAAAATTTGAAGTATGGGGAGTGAAATGGAGACTTGGAACTTGTAGTAGTTGCAACTAACGAACTTGCAAGTTAATAAATTACAGATGAATAGGTTATGGTACATGGTTTCTGGTGCATCCCTCGAGCGACATTGGATGTTGCACAAATTGAACAATTCCTATGTACAATTGTCTTTGCCATCTGATACATGCTAGCTCCATGCGCCACAGGGAAAGTTCTAACTCTCTAAATTTTTTTTGAATTTTGTGTAAGTATTAGAAGTAAGAAAGAAATTTGCTTTATTATAATATATCAAAACACAGTTGACATACCACATTTGAGATGGGGATATATTTCTTCACAAAAAAAGGGATAATGGATCAAAACATGTTAAAGGAAATGTTCACCAAAGAAATTAATATGAGAGTGGGAAAAAATAAATTATCAAAGGCATAAATTGGTTTTTTCTTTTAAATCTTTAGTAAAAATTAGCTAAATGTAAGAAAAAAGAAATTATTATATAGAAAAATGAAAAAAAGAAAAATTATATGTAAGCAAATGTTTTTTCATGAAAACAATTCTAATTCCTAATGAATTCTTCTCTCATGCAAACAAAGAATTTGAAATTCCAAATAAATTCTGTATCAATTCTATGCATTTTCCAAACGCAAGAATTGGAATGACTTGAAATTCCAATTCATAGAATTCCAATTCTAATTCTCTAGAATCAAACGCACCCTTAGGCTACGTTTGGTTCTACAGAATTAGAATTGAATTAGAATTGAAATTCTATAGAATTGGAATTCTATGAATTGGAATTCCAAATCATTTCAATTCTTTCGTTTGGGAAATGTATAGAATTGATACGGAATTTATTTGAAATTCCAAATTCTTTGTTTGTATGAGAGAAGAATTCATTAGGAATTAGAATTGTTTTCATGAAACATTTGCTTACATAAAATTTTTCTTTTTTTTTCTTTTTTATATAATAATTTCTTTTTTTCTTACATTTAGCTAATTTTTACTAAAGATTTAAAAGAAAGAACCAATTTGTGCCTTTAATAATTTATTTTTTCCCACTCTCATATCAATTTCTTTGGTGAACATTTTCAGATGGTATAGATATTGGCATCCAACCAAAATTGGACCTCACCCCCTTAAAAGTAAATCCCCAATGACACTAGCATATTTCTTAAAACATGGTAGAATATTGGACAGTGAATTAGTCACTAATTAACTCAAATAGTACGTTTGTAAAACAATTTAATTAACATTCTCAACAAATAAATTCAGTTTACTTGACAGACAAAGGAAACAATCTCAATTACTTTCCAGAAGCAACAAAAAAGGAAGACCCCAAAGCATACAGCTCTGCTCCCCAACTAAAGACCCTACAGCAAGCTCCATGGTATGACACATCCAGCACTTAGAATGTTGGTCCATAAGTCAATACCTTAAGTACCTAGATATGAAGAACATCAGATATTGGTGAATACCATGGATAATGCAAACAAATTTCAGCATCTCAACAGCAAGCTACGTCTCACACAAGTAGGTTTATTCTTCCAAAGGCACAGGACTGACTCACAAATAAAGATCTCAGACATTCTTAGCAGAGTTTATGAATTCAACTAAGCAGGACGGCGAAAATCAATCAAGAACTTTTCCTATTTGTTCCATATGTTCTTCATTTTCTTAAAAATAAATGACAAGAAAATGACAAAAGAACTCATCAGAATTTAAAAAGTCATGGATACACGATGGAGTAGTAACAACTTTTACTTGCTCTACTTGGGCTTCCAGCAATCAGCTCAACTTCTTCTACAAAAACAACTTCAACTGGAGATTACCCAAAAAAAAATCAATTACCAATGTGCATCAATAGCCAATCCTTTTTTAAGTCATCTCCGAGACCAGAAAAAGTGTCATACTTTGTCCTGTCATTCATAAGTAAGTCAATACCCTTCAACAATTGAAATCTATCCAATTCAATTTTAGATAACTCGTCTTCCACCATTTTTGTTGTAACTTTTGAGCATTCTGAATTTAAGTACTTATCCAGTGAATCTGCCATTCGTCCCAACACTTTGTAAAGTACTTGAGAGCTCGTTAGTTTTCTCTTTGTGCCACGATCATTTGTTGAAGATGAAGCTTTTGATTTTGACCGTTGTCGAGCTAGCAGTGCATTCATAACTTCATCTTCTAAAGATCGTGAATCAGTCTCAAATGATTCCTCTACATTAGCAGACTCTTCAACTTCAGTTTCAACATTAGCCTCAAAAACAGTTTGGGCACCCTCTCCATTTGCACGATCTTGTGAAAACAGTGTACAGATATCCTCCCAATTTTCAACCACAATTTTTTTTCTATAAGGAAGAATTTTTGGATTCTCACTTACTCGAGCATTCCATACATCCTCATCACGAACATCAATTCTACCTCTAGAGTAGTCCCATATTATCGCAGACCCAGAGTTACATGACTGGAGCAGTGGGTATAGGATGTCATAGTGTTTCTCCCATGTCTTGAAACGAGATAAAATATTAGCCTTTGTCACAGATATATTGAGCTTATCGAATAAAGCATTCATTACTACGGTGTAGGCTGCTGTCTTCCATGCACATTTACCATCCAATTTGTTTCCTTGGTTCATTTGGTCAATAAAACAGGTGCCCATTACACGATCCATTTCAGGAGTCCAAGTGAAATACCCTTTGCCTTTCCCTTTTGACTGAGATGTTGCTTCAGATGCCATATCTAAGGCAAATATGCACCAGAAAAACATCACAATGTCATGTTCTTAAGAATAGATTCAACAGCCACTGCATTATAGAACTAAAAGTGAGAGGCAAATATGCACCAGAAAAATCCATACATATGTTAAATGAAGAACTTATGATGACTTATTTGGACGGAACCTTTTTGCAAAAGCAATTTGGAGATGTTGCTAAGATCATCACTTATGTGCACAAAATAGTTTGGAGATGTCCTAAACTTATTCTGGTGACTTAAAGCTTCTACTGGTAAGGATTTTCCAGCACACTGCAACAAAAGAAAGAAACAGAAAAGTCCCGACAAAGCTTTCTTTCTAGAAACAAGACTACATTGTGGAGCCTCCGGTTCCAATTTCTGTCACCAATCAAACTGGAAGTCAGTAATGACCCCTGTATTTTGAATTCCATATCCATTCAAGCAGTAGTATGATGTCGTTCATTTTCCCCCAAAAAGAGACCATATATATCAAAGAGCTCAAGTGAACATTGACAGAAAGAGAGATTACTAAATCACTCAAAATGCAGAAGACAAAGGATAAGTCAGTAGAAAGTGGATTTAAGTGCTCAAAGCATGCCAAACATCCAAGCTGCAGGCAAAAATCAAATTTTTACTTAATGACCTTCATGCATATGTGAATTAACAACTTCAAAGAAGTCTCAAGCACCAGTTAAAACATAAAAGACCTTGGTAATTGCTGGTAAAACTATTTTAGCATACATCTATATATCAAACTCTAGTTGAATAACTGCGACAACGTACATACACAGGACTTATCTATTGACTGGAAGCCAAGGTTCTCCAAATTCACTACATTATCTAACATGTACAATAAACGATAACAGTAATCTATGCGTCCTCAGCATCACTCATGCTTGGACGAGTATCAATATAGAATTCTGAGTCCAAACCATCCATGATCCTTCCTCTGTTTACCAACATGTAGATGTACCGGCTTTGTCAAATTGGGCACCAAATTTGACAACATTGTGGAGCCTCCGGTTCCAATTTCTTTCCTTTAATGTTTAAATGGTCGAGGGAGTAATGACAAAATTTCAGTAACCTAATGCCAATTCCTAAAAGTACATGGTAAACTGAATCTGATTTTTTGTATTTTCCACACCTTCTTCCTATCTTCCATTTTGGACCCAAAGCATTTGGTTCGATGTAAGTTTTTAAGTTTATATATGTGACCATGTAACATAAGAAGTTCTCAACAAAATTTTCGATGAGGTAGGCCTCCCTTACAGAATGAAATCATAAAACAGTCTAGTCTAAATGTTAGAAAATACTCTTGTTGCAGGCAGCATAAAAGTGATTTGATCAGTTTCTGGACCAATTTCCTTCTTCTTTTTCTTCCAAGTAAGATAAAATACTAATCTACTCCTCCTCTTACACTCTGTGCATCCAAGTAAGTTATGAAAAACCTAGCGAAGGGCAAACTTACCACCGAAACCATGCACTAATAAACTAAACTTTATGAATGGCAGAGGCAAACATCAAGGCAAGACTCGAGCCATTGAA